TCTTCAACTTTGTAAATACAGAACTTTTAAAAAATATATATTTTACTTATTTCAGAGAGGAAGAGAAATTGAAACATCAATGATGAGAGAGAAGCACTGATATGCTGCCTCCTGCCCACCTCGCACTGGGGATTGAGCCCTCAAGCCACGCATGTGCCCTGACTGGGAATCGAACCGTGACCTCCTGGTTCATAGGTCAGTGCTCAAACACTGAGCCACACTGGCTGGGCTAAATACAGAACTTTTTGTTAACATCAAAATATTCTGAGGATCCTATACAATAGTGGGTTGAATTTTTATTATCTAACTTTTATTCAAATTATAGATAATGCTTAGAACATGAATTGACCAATGAATGCTTCGTAACAAGTTCACAGCTCATAAATCAAGGACCACAGCTCTAGAACTCAACTTTTCAACTCTATCAGAAATCTCAGTTCCACAACACTCCCTCCTTTGTTAGTATACTTGCCCTCCTCCTCAACACAAATTCAGGTCCTTCTGCCTTCATATATGCAACATCTCTAAGGATTTTATTATAGCCCAATGCAATTAACTTCTCTCTGCAGTATTAAACATGGATGACCTTCTTCTACATTTGCAGATTCTATCCAATGCAATACATACTACTTTGGAACTCTTTTGCCTTTAACCACAGGTCTTTGACCTCTTTTCCTGGCACTTCTATTTCTTCTTTCAAACCCGCTGGCAGTAGTTCTCAATTTATTTCTGACTCCATTGATTGTTGGGTAACATATGCCATCAATATCTTTTACAGTGTACTAGTTCTCTACCGGCTGGCACTATTACTCAACGTAAAAGTCCTGCCCAATCATCTACAACATTCCTGGCCTAACCAGTTTCTCAATTTCTATTCATTCCACTTGGGGTTTGTAACATGGCAATGAACAGGGACTGTGTATTATCACCTACACCTGTTGCATGTGTATTCATTGTTTCCTCAAATCAGACAGCAATTCCTTAAAGGCAATTTCCTTGTTTTAGTCTTCTCTCCAAATGGCAGAGTGCCAAATATAAAGCCATCATTTCAAATATCTTCTAACACTTTTGAGATACCTGAAATGTAGTAAAAAATTCCAAGACCACAAAAAAAGAACACTATTTTGCAGATGCTAAATAGGGATAAAGTGAAAGAAAGGTTGCATAATTAAAGGTTTAAGAAATACTGGTTCCAGGTTAACAGGCTTATTTGTAGATCTTCTTAGATCTTTTAATCTTGCTAAGTGCAAATCTCCAAAAGCAGGATGTCCCAAACTTGTGAGTTATAAAACTCTTTTCTACCTTTTACTGCTCATTACCAGCAGTAAACTTATTAACTTCTCCCTTCCAGGAAACACAATTGAGGAAATGCTAAGTAAGCAATTAATTAATTTTCTTTAACAACTACTTTATATCCAGTATGATTTCTAAGGATATGTTAATATTACTGGTTTTATGACTCATCCTAGCAGCACTCTCAGCATTCTTCAATTACCCCCAAAGTCATTAGACAGTATAATTACAAAAAACTTTTTAAGGATTCATTTCATGATACCTTTAAATTGCAGTTCCCTTACTGCTTTTAAATATAACCTCACTTAGAAAAAGTCTATTTATATACACCATCATTTATTTTTTAAAAAAACAGCAAAAACTGTTAAAAGATGTGGGTAGCTTCAGCAATGTGGGGTGTGGCCACAGTGTTTTGGACAGGTTCAAGCCTTGGACTACTGAAAGGGCACAGTCCTCTCATTGCCACATACAAGTCCCAGCTTGGATGGCAGAACCCTCCCAGCACAATTATAGCCAACAGCTATAGCTGTAAGCTTGAGCCTATGGTCCGAACACGTGGCCCCACGTGCCTGAGTGATAGAGTTCAGGTGCATGTAGTGGAGTGGGATTGAAACCAATGAGAATGTTGTAAACAACTTGATCACGCCCTTACTTTTGCCTCGTGGCACCTGCTATAAAATAAAGACACGGCTTGTGAGTGTCATCGCTGTCTCTCAGAAGCAGCGTCCCACCGAGACCCAGCTTTTGTTCTCATGTCTGTCTTTTCTTAATCCTTTCATCACCCCCACTGGGGTTCACCCTTGGCCATGCTGGTGCAGGGACTGAGTTCTGGGACCAGGGACTGAGTTCTGGGACCAGGGACTGAGTTATGAGGACCAGGGCCTGAGTTCAGGCTCCCCACACAGCAAGTTGACAATCTCTCACCAAAGCCAAAGGTTAAAAAAAAAAAAACACTAAAAAAGAACAAAGTGTATTCCAAAGAACCAAGAATAAGAGGAAGATAAAATAAATTTGGGACATAAACATGCTATTCTTCTCTGGGAAATTCATAACTCTTAGCACATTAAAGTTTCCAAGAAGTCCTCCAATTAAAAAAAAAAAAAAAGACAGTTCAACATAGTTTAATCTGTTGCTCTCCAAATTTACTTGACCATGAAATCTTTTTTTTCCTTAAGCATACCACAGACTTATAGCCTTCATTCCTCTGCTTCAATATTATGCAATGTTGAAATAAAATAATCTTTTAGAAAAATCTGAATAGGCAGCAGGAAATCAGAAGGTAAATCTGAATTTTCCCACCTGATCTCATTCCCCACTCAATTTTTCTGTCTAAAAATTTTACTGCAATGACTAAGATGTGGGAGGAAAATAAAGACAAACCTTTGTCCTAACAGTTAACCTTCATAATTAAAGGGAATAAATTCTAGACCTTATTCCAGATCATGCAAAACTGTGGTCTGGATAGGATTAAAAGCAGGACCTCAAAAATAACTCAAATACTAGTTGTTTATTCTTTATAACCTGTTTCCTCAGCAATAAAACTTTGGAATGGGGATGTTGGCTAAGTGATATGCGACATCTAGTCTCCACCCCTAAAAGCCCTCACTCTTATTTGCACCTTTTCTGAACCAGATCAGGTTTTTTCTTTTTATAGTACACTAGAGGCCCAGTGCACGAAATTCCATCCACCGGAGGGGGGGGTGTCCCTCAGCCCAGCCCTGCACACTCTCCAATCCCAGTACCCCCTCGAGGCACGTTCTGACTGCCGGTTTAGGCCCTTTCCCACAGGGCCTAAACCGGCAGTCGGACATCCTTCTGGCAGTCGGACATCCTTCTCGCAATCCGGGACCGCTGGCTCCTAACCACTCGCCTGCCTGATTGCCCCTAACAACTCTGCCTGCCTGCCCTATCACCCCTAACCGCTCTCCCCTGCCGGCCTGATCGCCCCTAACTGCCTTTGCCTTGGCCACCGTGGCTTTGTCCGGAAGACGTCCGGTCTAATTAGCATATTACACTTTTATTAGTATAGATATTAGTACAGATACTTTGGCTTCCTTTTTTTCCTGGAACAAGATGAAGAAATTATCTACAACCAGATAGCCAGGTACTTAACTCCATGCACACCTCATCATTCAGGGACAGTTAATTAGCAAATGAAGCACATTGGGGATTAACCAGTTTACTTCTTCACAGCTCCAAATTAAATTATGTGTTCTTGCAAACCACTCTACTATCTAGACAGAGCAAAAGTATATCTAATGCTAAAGTCAGCTCAACTAATAATTTCAGACAGCTATTTAAAGGTTTTCTTTTTTGTTTGTTTTTTTAACCTACTCTAAATTTAAACATGCTCCTCTTTTTCAGAAGCTGAAATTTGCATAAAGTTTAATACAGGAAAAATAAAACTAATGAGAACTTGTCGCCTCCTGCTCAGTTCTTGCAAAAGGCTACAAAGAATAAGTTTCCCAGATAGTTTCAATTCCATCACAAGCATGCCTCCCTTTCAAAAGTGTTATGTTTTTTTCCCAGTCAGGAGTAAGGTTAGTTGTAAATTTCAATGAGAAAGGTAATGAATGATACAATTCTTTATACTGACAATGAATGGCCAAGTTAATACCAATTTTAGTGCAGATCAGTCATTTCAGATTCAGACTATTCCTTTTAGCTAACACTTTTAGGTAAAATTAAAACAACTAAGTCTCAAAACATGGAATAAAATGGCCTAACTTTTTTATTCTTATGTTAACCCTCACCCAAGGATATTTTTCCATTGCTTTTCACAGAGTAAGAGAGAGAGAGAGAGAGAAACATCGATGTGAAAGAAACACATCGATTGGTTGACTCCCTTACGGGCCAGGCCCAGGGATCGAGCCTGCAACCGAGGATCGTGCCCTGGATCAGAACAGAACCCGGAACCATCTATCCACTGAGCCAAATTTGCCAGCTAAAGCAGGCCTAACTTTTTTAACTTTTCAGGTAACACATTCACTAAAGGTAGACCACTATTTTTCATAGATATTTTAAACGGGTGCACATGCAAGTGATAAATGACGTGTGATCTATCGCCACAGTCACTGCTGGGCCTCTTCCACCGGATGATCAGGTCTCACCCCACTCACCAAGTTACTGATTAGCAATGGTTTCTGTTGAGACGGGGATGGCAGGAAATAAGACCATGTGTAATGCCACTGTCATAGCTCTAGTTAAAGTTCTGTTCTCTACTGGGCCTGGCGGAAAGACAGCAGCTAAACATAAGTATTTTTAAAAGGTAAATCCTAGGAGAATACAAGGTCAGTTCAAGAGAACCTCGCCCGCAGTTCCACAGGTGGCCTCCCGCACCTGGTGGGCTCGGGGAGTCCGCCCCGTCCACACCTCCGTTCCCTCGGCCCCCTCTTCTTTCCCGGTTCAGCACAAACATCTCTCCCCCTCCCGTTCCCTGCTCCGCGCCTCGCCGCCCCTTCACTCCTCCAGACCCGCTCCAGGGCCCGCCCCCCTCTCAGGTGCCCTCCTCAGCCCACCACACCCCTCCGGCTCGCAGAGGCCGGCCCCCAGCCCACGCGGCCGCCGCGGGACGCCCCCGGCCCATCATCCAGACTTCGCACCCTCCACACCCCCGCTCCCGCCGGCGCCTCGGCCTCGGCAGTGGCCGCACCGCACCCGCACCCGAGCGCCGCCCCGCAACACGCCCCCCGCCCGCGGCCCCTTACCGCACATGATGCCGGAGGCCCGCTCGGTCCGCTAGGCGAGTGGTGAGCGGCTGGCGAAGTGGGGAGCACACGGGAGCCTGTGGGGCTATCAGCGGGCTTGGGGGTAAGGAGGTACCCGCACGACTCCCTCGAGGATGCGACAGCCGAGGTAACGACTCCCTTCTTGGCCTCCGGGACTCGCCAGCAACTGCCTCCGGGCCCCGCCCCTCGGCACGCACCGCGCCGCCGCCGCCTCCGCCGCCCGCAGGTCCCATTGTTGCCGCGTCCGCGCCACTCACGCACAGATCCCGCCTCCCCGAGCCGCCCCGCCCACGAGCCCACGCAGGCGCTGGCCTGCTGGCAGCGAGGACGTGGCAGCGGCTCCCGGCGCATCCGCTTTAGGTTCCTGGAGCCGCCCGGCCCCGGGGCGAGTAGCGGGAGGAACGGCGCCGCGGGGGAGGAGGAAACTTGTTGGCTGGCTGGAATGAGGGGAAGATTAGGAAAGAGGATGGGTTTGTTAGCAAAGCAAATAACGTTGGGGGCGCGCCTAGTTCAATCCTAGGCTCCAAGTTCCAGCCCGCCAGGAAGCGGGGAAAGAGGAGGAAGAAAGCAGAGGCCAGCTGGACAAATAAATCAGGGTGGGAAAGGGATATAGACCTAAAAAAAATTGCAAAGAATTGAGAGGAAGGAGATACCAAAATTCCTGGTTGCAAAGCGCTATGCAGGTTCTGTTAGCCTTCCAGGTGGCAGGTAATTCAGTTCCCGATTTAGGCTCCATGTTATATGCTTGGCCTCCAAAAGCCCTCCGCCCCCATTCATTGACTCCCTAACCCCATTTTGTTTTGTTTTTGCAGAGGAGCAGGGGAGACTTCTGCTGGCCCACCTGACAGGACTGTAGGAATTGCCTAGATTTGACAGCCTTACATTTGACTCATCAACGATTAACTAATTCTATTAATTAATGCACCATTCCTGCCAAGAGAAACTTAATCAAAGAGAGATGATGTTTCTGAGAATTTATTACCTGAGCATTTGCTTAGTAAGATTTAAATAGTGTCTTTAGTAAAATGTAGATGGTTATCATAACTCTATTAATGACTCTAGAGTAGAATCAAATAAAATTCCAGTGGGCACATAGAACATGGCATGGACTTCTGACCCCAGATGTCTCATCTTACTTCACACTGCTGCTCCTTTCCTATCACACCTTCCAGCTCTTTACACTCCAATAACGCTGAACAGGTGATCTCTCAATTCTGGGCCAATATTGGGCCAATATTCTCAAGACTTTTGCACACTTTGGTTACTCTTCATGGAATCCACACACCTTCCCTACTTAAATGCTACCTCTTAGGGAAAACCTTTTTTGTCTCCCCCAGAGAGACATAAGGACATGCATTAACCTCTCATTCTTTGAGTTGCCCCTTTTAAAGCAATATACTTTGATTTTTTACTTTTGCTTTTTGCATATTCCTCTACTAGGCTGTTTCTTGAAGCTAGAACAAGTGTTTGCATACTCAACACCTAGTATAGAACTTACCACAAAGTAAGGGATCAAAAATGCTTTTGAATGAGTGAAAAAAAAGTCTAATGTTCTTAGTAGAGTTTACTTTCTATGGCTGGTTTTATGATCAAGTGAGCAAAGGGCTTTTCAGTTTTCCTTTGGGGCGGGGGGTGCGGGGATGTCTTTTTATCATTGGCCTCAAAGAGAGGCCAGAAAATGTAACATTGAACTAATCAGAGTATTTCTAACATGAAAACCCTTTAATATTTCAGGCCCTTAAACAGGTTCCTATATCACCCAGAGCAAAGTTTATAAAACAACAGTGAGCTATTTGAAAAGAGACAACACATTTGAGACATAAACATGCTATGTTTATGAGGCAAAGTACATGTTAGCCTCAGACCCTCATCTAAGAGGTTCTGGTAAGCCTTCAGTAGTACTTCCAAGATGTCAAGGTATGATTACAATGTTTCTGTGTGTGTGTGTGTGTGTGTGTGTGTATTTACTGATTTTAGGAAGAAACATCAATGTGACAGAACCATCGATTGGCTGCCTCTGTATGCACCAAATGGGGATCAACCTGGGTATATGCCAGGGGTGGGCAAACTTTTTGACTCGAGGGCCACAATGGGTTCTTAAACTGGACCGGAGGGCCGGAACAAAAGCATGGATGGAGTGTTTGTGTGAACTAATATAAATTCAAAGTAAACATCATTACATAAAAGGGTACGGTCTTTTTTTTTTTTTTAGTTTTATTCATTTCAAACGGGCCGGGATCGGGGCCCGCAGGCCGTAGTTTGCCCACGGCTGGTATATGCCCTGACCAGGAATTGAACCCGAGACCCTTCAGTACACGGGAAGACGCTCCAACCAACTGAGCCACGCTGGCCAGGGCATGATTACAATGTTTGAACACCTTTGGAAACTGCCAGAAATCCTGTCAATGCCACAAAGAAAAGCCAGCAGAACCACCAAAGTTCTCTTGCTCAAACTATAATTGTTGAACCCCCCTGCTTTCCTCTTCTGCTTGTTTCTCCATCATGACTATCAATTTGTCTTGTCCATCTCCATTTTACAGCTATTTTAGAAAGTGCTTATGCATCAGTTGAGAGGAAGAAACTTTTAAGGCCAATTATTTTCCCCAACTGTTTAGTACACGCAGACCCAGAGAAAGCCCCGAGAATGAAAATTTACCTCCACAGGTGGAGGGCAGGGAAAGACCAAAGAAAGAGGCTGGCCACTCTAGTCAGGTAATTAATACAATTTATAAAGGGGAACTTACAAGACATGTCTTGGGTAGCTGCAAAACAAAATGGGTCCCCATGCCACTCACAAAGAATTACATAGGGTAAAAGTGGGCAATAATCACAGGCACTAGTACCTGAATGCTAGAAATTATATGCTTGACCAAGTCAGGACAACAACCTGTTCCAGGAACCGGCATATCACAGGAAGCAAGAGAGGCATTAATTTATGTCAGAATGAACATCAATTCAGAGAGTCTATAAGGTGGGTTTACAGAAAGCAACCTCTGTTCTGGTCTAGCTCTAGCTCACAGGAGAGGCAGCGGTCACGTCATGGAACAGCCTTTCCTCCACACCAACCCAACCTTGAACCACCTCACCAACCCACCTAAACAAAGAGCCCTTTGTAACCATGTGCCAGTCCAGGCACTGATGTAGAAGCATTTTGTTTGTCTGAACCCCATCTACGGAGCATTGCCTATGCTGCACCTTTGGAAATCAGAGCTGCAGAAGAAAAAAATAAATTACCTAGGAATGAATGGGGACATCTGGGTCTTATTCAAACATCTGAGGAAATGGAAAGGATTTTCTCTCTGATCAAAACTTTTGAACAGAATTGAAAAAATAAAAAGTGATGATAGTGTGTCATTTATTGTCTCTTTATGCTACTCAATTTCCCAGGTTAGTCCTGTGAAATCTAATGGTTCTCAGCCTCCTCCTTGCCATGCATCAGGGCTTCTAGTTGTCATTTCTAAAGAAATGAAGAACCATAATTGAAATAGCTGTATAAGATTATCAAACTTTCACATTTGTGATTTTTGTTATCCCTTAGCTGACTCCCAATATAAATAGCAATAAAATTGTTAAAATTAAAAAGGCCTGTGTGGCTCAGTGATTGACCATCGACCTATGAACCAGGGGATCATGGTTGGATTCCCAGTCAGGGCACAGGCGTGGGTTGTGGGCTCCGTCCCCAGTGGGGAGCATGCAGGAGGCAGCTGGTCAATGATTCTCATCATTGATGTTTCTCTCTCTCCCTCTCCCTTCCTCTGAAATCAATAAAAATATATTTTAGGGAAAAAAGCAACCAATAATGCATAAACGGAATAACTGAGGTTTCTATGTCTGCCTTCTGAGAGGGGGCCGGGCCATGGAGCGGGTAAGGAGGAGTGAAGGGGCGGCGAGGCGCGGAGCAGGGCCCGGAAGGGGGAGCGTCAAAAGCTGACCCGGGAAGGAAGATGGGCCCGAGGGATCGGGGGTGAGTCGGGGCAAAA